AAACGTGTTTTTATTTTTCTCACATTTTGAATTAAAAATGATTCAAATCAAATAAAAACGCGTCCAGCGTGGGACACCGAGGAGGGGAGGGGGAGGAGGGAGGGGGGCATTCCCCTTGTTAGCGCACACATGCACGCACACGCGCACGCGCCGACTGTGAAGTGGAGCCCACCGCCGCTCACACGTCTCCGCGGCTTCATTAGGACAAGAAAAGTCCGGACAGCAGCACCGACACGATTCAGAAAAAACACTCCATCTGCCCCACGGACGGCCTCGGCTCTGCGCAGACTCAGAACAACTCAAAGAAGCGGAACATTTCACCCGAAACTCGCGTTTTTCTTTTACTTCTGCAGGCGATGAAATAAAAATGAGAAGTGAGTGAAAAGCGGCGACAGAGACTCTTTAAAGGTCACAGAAGAAGAAGAAAAATTCTTTCATGATAACAAATGTGAAACAAGCTCCTCATCATGTGCAAACACGTTTAAAAGCGCAGCTGTCATCCTGGAATTTGGTGCAATTACAGAGAAAAACCCGCAAAGCGTGACTTTCTGCGCTCACCTATGTGCAGAGCGAGGAAGAGCGCGAGGCATCTGGAGGACCAGGTAACTCCCATCCTCTGCGTCCGCCTCTCGGCATGAGAGCAGAGACTCGCAAAGTTGGAGAGCAGCTGCGGAGGGGCCGCACATTCCCCGCAAAACAGCCGCAAACAGCTACATCCAGCAGAGTCCTCCGCCTGCTCCCCCGCTTCTTCTTCTCTTCCTCTTTTCTCTTCTTCTTCTGCTCTTTTAGTGTGAAGCTGCTCCCTCCGCGCGGCTCTCCGTCCTCTGTGCGCGCGGCGCTTCCTGCTCGTTTTTACGCGTCCGGAGAGAAAAAAGAAAAGAGAGAGAGAAAGCCCCTCCTCCTCTCCTCCTCCTCTCCTCCTCCTCTCCTCCCTCATTAATATTATTTATCCTTCTTTATGATTCCCTGATTTTTTTTATCCCTTTGAGACGTTTGAAAGGAGGAAACGTCTGAAAGGCCTTTTTCCTCCCAATAAAGCGAAAATTATTCCCGCGCTCTTTATCCACCGAGATGAACAAGCGCTAAATAAACCATTTTTAATATTTCATAATAAAAATAAAAATAAATTGTACAGCTTCCCAAAGGCCTTTCACTGTCATGCGCACTGGATTTAAACCTGAGCAGACTTTAAGCATTAATTCACATAAACACATGAAAACATTTAAATATCGAAACAGGTCCAGTTTATTTCTGTAGCACAAAAATGCTGCATTTAAAAATCATAATATTAAAAAAATAAAAATATAAAATACGTACACCGGCCTTTATAGGAAAATAGTTCCCCTGCTGTGTTTGGGTTATTATGGGACATGCGCTCTGATTGGCTGGACACGCCCCCTTCTCCTATTAGTAAACTGGATTTATTTTTATTTCTTTAGTTGGACCTTTTGTGTTTGAAGTTAAGCTCCTCCCCTCAAACGCCTGAGGCCGAATCTTCACAGGTGTGTTTCTGTTCAGTTTCCTCCTGGTGGTCATTTCCGGTATTGCACTGAGAATTATTTAATTTGTTATGAAAATAATGTGAATTCTTCCATTAATTATTATTTAATTATTAATTAACTTTTATTTTATTTAATATTTATATTATTTTATTATTATTAAACATATATTTAAAGGCCTCAGACAAGAGTTTACAGTCCAGGTCAAAGTGTGAGC